GCTAGCCAGTAATTAAATCCCAATTTAAAATTTTCAGTGTGTCAAAATGTGCTATCTTGCTTATTCCTTACTATTCTGATCTCTTTTGAGTTAATCACATCAAATGATGTTTAATAATTCAAGCAATAAACTTTTGACAAACTGGCTAATACCTGGACAATGACTCAGCTTACTGTCAGGGCGTGTTAGGATGCAATAATCTTGATTCTTGTTTCATGCAGAGCACAAATCCACGCAGCAACAACATCCTTGCTATATATTCAAGTTGGCACTTCAGTCTCTATTTTGGGTTTTGTTACACTGGTACTCTGCAATAGAAAAAAAAATCTATTTTCTTGCTGCGTTTCCCACTAGTATCAGTCTAAAGGAAAAGAAAGAAGCAGCTGTAACGGCTAAACTTTAAGAGGTTTAACACACTTTTACTGCCCAATAAGCCGGGTTTATTTTATTTGGCTGACACCTGGAGAGTAGGTTAGCCGATAAAAAGAGCTTAGAGATGCTCATGACTGCTTGCTAACTGCAGTTTCATAGGTTGTCTTGGTGGTTCTTAGCTGACTGTGGTGTAATTTAGCCTCATTAGCCTCTTGACACAGAAACGACTGTGTCAGACATTTCTGTTCCAAAGTAATTCTGGCTCAGCAGGTAATATATTTCTGGAAATTTCTGATGTAGTGGTATCCCACTGCAGAAGTGATCCTAGTGATTCTAAATGGAAGTGCAAGGATTCATATTTTTGACTGTGGATGGCAGATGACATGGATGGATTGAAAGAACGTTGTGGCATTTGAGGCTTTATGATAATGTTACCTGCACACTGCTCTATTCAGATTTCCTAAACATGTTAAGCTGGGATGACCCTGGGGTCATGAGGACTGGAAATGGGACTGGGAAGCTGCTGGTTTGCGCAGATTCCAAATACGCAGCAGAAAATGAACAGATTAATGAGATGACAGATTTGTCGAGCAATTAACAATTCAACTTCACCCCAGGGTGAAAATCTTTGAGTGAAAGGGACCAGGTTGGGCATTTCCAAGTTGACCTACAGTGAAAGCGAGGCTTCATTTGAAGAATTCCTTCATTCAGAAGTCATAAAGATATTCCAGGGATATATGGAGACATTTTCAGGTGTAGAACTACAGCAAAGTTAATGCTAAATGAGGCTTATTTTTATGTGTAACTTCAAGAAAGTAATTACATCGTGGACGTTTAGAGAAAGGCATTCAAGTTGAACATTTTAGCCTGTTAATTAAAAACAGTTACATACAGTTTTTATATGGGCTTGTCGGATAGTAAAATTTACATTTCCATCTTTTTCCACATGAGATCAGCAGCATTTCAAATGTAGTTTTATTCGAGTTTTCCTGTCAGCTGGAGTCTTTTGAGCTTGGTTTGTCTCTTCACTGGTATACCTTCAGGGCCACACTGGTCTCCTCTTATGTTGAGCTGTTGCATCTAGCTCTTCCAATTTTAATGTTACCCCATCCCAGTGCTTTCCCTCTCACAAAAAAAGCTGAACTCTCTGAGGTTGGCCGTGGGGGGGGCTTTGTACTTTTTGAAAGAGTCTGAAGAGTCAGTGGTGTGCCCACTGCAGCTGACAGTGGGTGTTACTCAAGCTAACACTTCTTGACTTTCTGTGTCTATTACCTCACACGCCCAGGAACACTAATCTAATAGCTGTTTAATGAGTTATGATCAAAAGTTGTTAAGAATAACATTTTTTGAAGCTTTCCCTTTGTGGAATTATGTACAACTAAACTTAACTCAGCTCACAGAATATTACTCATACTGCATACACCAAACTGGGTATAGTGGGCTGTAGTTTCAAACTGAGTGCTTACACACTCCCAACAGACACCATTACATCACATACTGGTCTCTGGTTTCACATTTGAAACCCTCAACATTAGCATTTTACCGACTGCCCCATTGTTCTACTTGAGCCAGAAGTGACCATATTAGGAAACCATGTTATTTATCACATAATTGCCTGTTTTAGTACATCTTTCAATAATAACAGTCACAATATTAACTTTGAACCTTGACAAAAAAGTTAAGAAATAAGTTCAACTCTGTATAATTGCTATGAAGGGACGATTTAGCTAATAATTTAGCTTTTTTTTTTTTTTTTTTTTTTTTTTAACAAGACTTCAACAATTCTTCATGGGAGTCATGATTGACAACAAACCATATGAGCTCGACGGGCAACCAGCTTTGACAAGGGGACATTCACCTTAGTCACTTAGCTATTTATTTCAAAATACTCCAAAATCTCAGGCGGCTGAGGCAGTTTTTGTGTTTTGCAATTACAAGTAGGGTCATACTTTCAAACAACCTCTTTTTAGTTTCAAAGAGATATGACAGGTACTTCCCAGAGTTTGACCTGCACAGGCCCATCCACTCAGTGTCATCCTCTGTCATGCTCGTCATTACGACTGCTGCAGAACTACTGTTGATCAAATAATAATGAATTCAATAAATATATATTTAATTGAATCGATATGGGCAAATTGCGTGAATTAGTGTAACTTACTTTAGTGAGACTTTACTGGGTGGGCCTGGACCCCTGAAGCCCATCCAAAGAGTTGATGCTGATGGCAGTCATCTCTAAAGTCAGCTTCAAGTTGCCATTAGCAAAACTGCAGTTTTGGCACTCCCATGTTGACTTATTTTCCAGCCACAGAGATGCCACCGCTATGACCTACTTACATCACTCAAATTAAACCACTATATTTTTAGCTGATGTCCACTTGGTCGTTAACACTTGGATTAGAGCATTCACACTCTCCTTTACAAAAGCAGAGCCAAGAGGCAACATCTCCAAAAGTTGATTCTGTTCATCTGGACGTAGCGTTTTGTGGGAGAAACATTTCGTCACTCATCCAAGTGACTTCTTCAGTCTCAGCTGACTGCAGGTTTCCCCAGATCGTATAAACAGTACATTTGCATAATGACTGAAACCAGCCCAGTGAAGAAACAATGGGCTGGGAGGTCAGTCCCTTAAATTTAATTATGCTACGCTACGTCCAGATGAACAGAATCAACTTCTGGAGATTTACTTACCTGGATGATTGAGCAAGCATCAAGAGACAACATGGTAACTAAGGACCTGATTTCAGAGATAGAGCTCAAACTTTGTTTTTACTTTAATAATACCGCTCGGCAAATATTTGACTACATATCGATTCTTCTGAAACTCCAAATATTGCATTAATGATTTTGTTGAATCAGACCAAATACACTAAGCTGGCTGTATACATGACTGATACGTGACTGTAGGAATGCAGTTCAATATGCATGAGAAGCAGTTGGGTTCTGGACGCGTTCTTCACAGAATATCACTGGATGGACTGAAGGCAGACTCACTGATGTGGAAAACAGATCTAAATGGTCGCTACTAATTTATTTATCTGCCATTGTGGACTTCTTTGCAGAAGCTGACGGATTGTTTCAGTGCGCCAGTCACTTAGCCTCCCCCAGCACAAAAGGATCACGCTGAGCAAAGATTTCAGTTCATAATTAATTCAAGCTTAGCAGCCTTTTCTGCAGTGGTGAGATGCAGCGCTCATACTTTGCATACTTAAGTAAGCAAGAAAATTCCTTTGTTTTGATTTTGCTCACGTTCTAAAGCGACGGTTTGCTGGGATAAACCGTGTCAATAAGCATAAAAGTTGTAGGCACGCAGAGGTTATCTTTTTTTTTTTCTTTTTTGACCAAGCCTGCATTGTAGGGAAGTTTGTTTTGATACTGCTTTCATTGAGATTGCCTTTAGCTAAACAAGCTTTTCTCATTCATTAAAATTCCATTTCATGCCCTCATACTAATCAAACTTTTCTCTCTCCCAGTAAAAGCTATTTGCAATAAGTCCAGGAGTCCTTTGTGTTGCCCGGTTCTTGTGCACAACCATTCAAGGCTTTTTGGGAGAGCAATCAAGTACTTCAGGGTCTGTTTTAAAGAGACTGTTGGCAGCCAAAAAAGGTCTGAGAGCCAATCTCACCTCTGCATGCCGTGTTTTCGGCGACTGTGCTTGGAAAGGAGCCACCTCACACAAGGTACGCACAAGGCTGACACTTTGCAATTACTCATTTCAATCAGATTTCATATTTAAGTTAAAGCATGAAGGCATGGTCCACCCACCCACACACCTGCTGTCATCAAGTGAAAGCCAACAGATTTGTTCTGATGTGAAAAATGCATTGCTCGGTTAAGCTTTGCTTCCAGTCTGGAAGGGAGGGGATTTGGGAAGGTAAAACCAGGCAGAGAGGAGATAATAGGATTTATTTGACTATGTTTTTGAGTGTTTTCAACAAAACTGAGCCTCGTCGCAATTAAAGAGCTTGCACAAGCCCAGAGGTGGATTTTGGCTAAGTGACGACTCATCACATCAAGTGTTGAGTGTGCAGGTAAATAAAATGAACTTGGCTGTAAGAGTGTGTTAAAATCGCTTCAAGTTTGACAGTCGCAGCCACTTCGTTGCTAAAATCAAACAGCTTTATTTGAAAAGAAATGATAATTGTGTTTTTAACCCTTGTGTGATCCAGATGCATGCACCCACACTGAGACTGTGCTGCTTTTCACATCGGGACTTTGGAGAAACTTGCCATTTGCCATGCTCTGGTGCCTCTGTGGGTTATAGCACATGCACTGTCCTTTTAAACCAGCTTGCTACATTTGAAAAATGTTGTGCACTTGCTTTCATCTCTTGCCAGCTTTTGAGCAACGACGCACCTTGAAAATATGCTTTAAAAAAAGATTGCTTGTTAGAGCCATTTATTTTAGGTGGAGCATGGAGCAATGCATTTTAAAGGGACAGTTTTATAGGAGTGTTAATTTGTGTGTCTTTTTTTTCCGTAACTCTTTTTGAATCTAGAGAATTGCAAACACTCAGAAACACACATTTGCATATACATGGTTTATACTGAAAACTAATTTCTTAGTAAATCAAAGACTATACATCTGAGCATGTGCTCCAGGTGCATTTGCTGTGTGAATGTGAACAGTACCTTAATAGCAGAGGTGGCAATCTGGAGGTGGTGCAGTCGCCTCAGGGTGCTCTCTCGATCTGTGAAGTAGGAAGCGGCCAGCTGATGGAGCAGCTCCAAAGACACTACTGAGCTGTTGCTGTTGCCTTCGGACTTCTTATTCAGCTTCTGCTTGTCCAGGAAAATGGTCAGAGACTCTTCTCCTGTGGATCGATGATAATTATTTTACAGAGCACTCTGTGATGAACAGTTTTCATTGAGAAAATCATTTGTTTCTTTCTGAATCCTCTTTAACGTGGATAAAAAGCCAAATGAAGAAGAGCGCGTACGTTATATTTGGAAAAACTGGAGTGACAATCTTTGAGTTTGACATTTCTTTGGAAAGGCCTTCAGGTTTTGTGGTTTGTCTGCTGAGGTGCAGGTACTGTATCATTTGGATTGGCAGCAAGAGAACCATTGCCACTAAAATTGGACACAGGCAAGAGAGGAGGTTGTATTCCTTCCCCAGACACCAATCGTTTGAAATTATGAAAGGCGAACGTGGCATTTATCTCGTGCAAGCTAAAACATGTAAGCAATATAAAGCGTGAGCAAGTATTTCTCAGCAATGCCAGCAGCTACTGATGTGGGAAACTTTTTAACAAATCACATGAGGCAGGATTCTCTTACTGTAAATGCACCAAACACCTTTTTATTTGCCCGTGTAATGTCCAAATAAATTGCAGACAGCTCTTACTGTAATTTCTCTAAAACTTTCAGAGTGATAAGTTCAATTACTGGACACTACAGGGAACACTTTATTCCCAACCTCCCTAAATTGAATCTGAATGGGAGCTTAAGTGTGATCTTTAGCAAAGCCGCCACTCCAAAAGTGTCTTGCTAAGCATAAGATTTGCTTAGAAAAGCCACATTTTCTTGGTCTTCAACAAAACACACCATTATTTATGGATGAGCGCCAAGAGGCTTTAAAGCCATTCAGAGAAACACAGAGAGACTAACTCTGATCTGAAATTCATGGGTGTTCAGTTATTTGGGAAGCGCAGGGTGTTTATATTTACCGCCACCTTTTCATTTGAGTTTCTATTGCAAAGTGCAAGGTCACAACTACAGCCAAAAAGTACTTTTGTTCACAAAGTGTAAGGCAATTCATTTTATTAATGTAAAAGGTACCTTTCTGAGGCTGAGTGGCTTTTTTTTGGGGGGGGGGGGGGGAATGAATCAGTTTTTCACTCTTTCACTTTCACTCAACTGTTTAACAAAATACACTTAGATGTAACCACAGCAGAGGAAAAGAGAACAAAAACCAGATATTTCATGCGTTTTCACTCTGCTACAGTAATCAGTATGCAGAATGGATCTGCCCATTTAGTCGAGGCTGTTAATTACACATAGACACTATCAGTGTGACACTGCATTCACCCCGGCTCCATCTCTGAAACTGCTCCAGTGCATACATTCAGTGATGAGTGGCATTAAAGTTAGGCGTCTGCAGACGTGAATATCAGAGCGGCTGTTAGGAGACTGTTCCTGTGAGAGAACCGGATTTGTCTGCTATGTGCACTGTGTTTGGGTAATTTTGGTATTAAACATTTCAAGCCTGAACCGTGAAATAATTGAAACTGAACCTTCTGACAATTTTTTTTCAAAAGTAATGAAATTAATTATTAATTTGCACATTTGAAGTTTTTTTGTGTTTGTTTTTTTCAATTTATTGCTGAAAAATGTATTGTGCAATTTATGTTGGTTTTTCAAATATGATGCACTAGACGTTAAGTTTTAGACTAATTATATCATCGTAAAATCTCCAATTTCATATATTCATAGCATATTTTATGTGGCTGAATGATCTGAGTAACCTAGGATTGTAAATCCTGACCGGGTCCTTACATATGCCTAGACTCACTATCACTCCTTGCAAATGTACTTGTATATCTGCACTATACTAGTTGATGACTGAGATTAGGTGTTTATCAATATCACTAGGTTGTCATCTTGAACACTACACAGGTCTCACTCTTGTTTTTGTGACCCTCACACGATCGATGCTGCTGCCGATCTGTTTTGTGAGTTACTTCTCTCCTTGGGGATTGAGGCAAAAAAGAAATCCAATGAAGAAACACGGGGGTATGAAACAGGTCATTTTAATCCCTCTTCTGCTCTGCGAGGCTCTAATGTTCATCAGAGGGAACGATGAGTGGAAAATTACCTCTGAGGGAGACAAGCATTGTTGAGTGCTGCAAGTGCAAGATGTAAGCATTGTTGCTATTTCTACTTAAAACGTGAGACTCTTTCTTGGTATAAAAGGACAGCTAGACTCCTGGAGCTACACTAACACAGGCAACATCCTCCGAGACCTAAAACGAACGGTTTCTCTATTTCTGGCGTGTCCCGACACTTCCTAACCCGAGAATAAAGGAGAGTGTGTCACCTGCAGTCCTCCCTTACCTCCCAGGGTGGCAGTAACCAAGAAGTGGGTCCCGTACTTCTTGATGAGGTTTTCATTGATTTGCTGCAGGGTTGGTCGTCGGCCCAGTAACCGCAGGTTGCGTAGGAACTCTGGTGCTAAGGGCAATGGAGATTTGAGGAAATCTCTCTTCTCCGTAGCCAGGCTGTTCACCTTCCAGTGGCTGAACTCCCTGAAATTATAAATACATGAAAAAGTGATTACATGCTCGAGCATTTTAGCATGATGTGGAATTACAGGCAACTAACTAGAATATACTGCTAAATATAATGACAGGAACATTTAAGGTTACAGTCATACATTTCTGAAGTGACTACAGAGAGAGAGTCTACTTATTGCACAATGGTCCCTGGAAAATCATGACTTGCTGTCTTTCATTGTGAGATTGTCTTGACCATTATATGTTAAAAAAAGGTCTCCGCAGGTCACAAAAAAAGAAACGTCTGATCTATTCTTATCTATAATGTGATCCTATTGGCCAACGTCATAAAGATCACAGACAAAGTAACACTTGTTGTGGCGTGTTAACACTGTATGTATAAGAAACAGTCTGGTGTATGAATGTGTGAATGTAGGAATAAAGTAAAGTACTCTGAATGGTCAAAAGTTTAGGAATTTGTTATAGATAATGTGCAAATCTGTGACAAAATAAAGATATATTTATATATGATTAGATTAGATTAGATTAGATAGAACTTTATTAATCCCTCGGGTGGGTTCCTCTGGGAAATTCGATTTCCAAAAAAGCACAGCACCGACAGAAGTTACAGAGTTACAGAATATTATATATATATATATACACACACACACACACACACACACATATATATATATATATATAAATACAGAGACAATATAAATAAAATATACAAAGGGGATAAATAGAATAAATAGGAATAAAAAATAAAAATAAAAATACAAGTGAATTGCACATTTCAAGTATTGAGGTCTATTGCACTGTTGACTATTTACAAAAGTATTGCACAAGGTATTGCACAGTGAGGTGAAGAGGCACTACAGCTTAGTTGTTCCCCCCTCCTTTGTCCTCCTGTCTCCCCTCCCTCTCCCCTCCAGAGAGGAGTTAAACAGTTTGATGGCGTGTGGGACAAAGGAGTTTTTAAGTCTGTTAGTTCTTGTCTTTGGGAGAAGCAACCTGTCACTGAACAGACTCTTCTGGTTGTTAATGGCCGTGTGCAGAGGATGCCTGGCATTGTCCATAATGTCCATCAGTTTCTTTAATGTCCTTTTCTCTGCCACTGTCACCAGAGTGTCCAGCTTCATGCCGACCACAGAGCTAGCCCTCCTGATCAGTTTCTCCAGCCTGGATGAGTCCTTCTTTGCTGTGCTGCTCCCCCAGCACACCACAGCATAGAAAAGTACTCCAGCAACCACCGACTGGTAAAACATCCTCAGGAGCTTCCTGCAGATGTTAAAAGACCTCAGCCTCCTGAGGAAGTACAGTCGGCTTTGGGCTTTTTTATACAGGTGCTCTGTGTTGCATGACCAGTCCAGTTTATTGTCCACCCACAGCCCGAGGTACTTGTACTTGTTGACCACCTCCACCTCCTCCCCCTCTATCTGAACCGGCAGTGGACCTGCTCTAGACCTCCCGAAGTCCACAACCAGTTCCTTAGTCTTTGAGGTGTTGAGTTGCAGGTGGTTTGTGTGACTCCATGCGACAAAGTTCCTCACCAGACTTCTGTACTCCTCTTCCTGATCATCCCAGATACACCCCATGATGGCTGTATCATCTGCAAACTTCTGAATGTGGCATAATTCAGAGTTGTAGCAGAAGTCAGAGGTGTACAGGGTGAAGAGAAGAGGGGACAGCACAGTTCCCTGTGGTGCTCCTGTGCTGCTGACCACTGTGTCAGACGTGATGTCCTTCAGCCTGACGTACTGTGGTCTGTCGGTGAGGTAGTCGGAGATCCAAGCCACCAGGCAGGGGTCCACCTCCATCCTGTTCAGTTTTTCCTGAAGCATACAGGGCCGGATGGTATTAAAGGCACTGGAAAAGTCAAGAAACAGGATCCTGACCGTGCCTTTTCCCCCATCCAGGTGTGAGTGAGCTCTGTGTAGGAGGTACAGGATGGCATCCTCCACTCCGACACCCGCCTTGTATGCAAACTGTAGTGGATCCTGGGCATGTTGTACCTGTGGTCGGAGGAGGTTGAGGAAGAGCCGCTCTAGAGTCTTCATAAGATGTGACGTCAGTGCCACCGGTCGGAAGTCATTCAGCTCATTGGGCCGGTTCTTTTTGGGGATGAGCTACACTGAGAAATATTCAAAAGCCCCAACGTGAGTACAGATGTAGGAGTCATGCAAAAAAGCAAATATTCACGGGATAGTCAGGGTTAAAGTGGGATGGTGGGGAACCGTAAAATCAGCTGCAGTGGGCCGGCGTTTGGAAAAGAATTAAAGCTCAAGATAACTTCTATCGTAAACTCGAGTCATTTTTCTTTGTGTCCAGGCTGGCGTCAGCTCACATGTGCTGCTGTGGCTCTGAGGTTTACAACAAGCTGTAAGCAGATGTTTCACAGCTATCTTAGCAGATTTCTATTCAGTCCCCTGACAGTTCACTTTATACTGTTTTTACACCAGACAATATAGAGTTGGTATAAAGGTTTAATAAGTTTTAGAACCATCAGCTGAAATTCAAATTCATCAGTTGATATGTCATGATCCGGAGTCTGCGACTCCGTGTTTGTTTAGTTTATTAGTATTCTGTGGTTTTGGTTACCTTGGGTGTTTATACTCTTCTGTTTCATGGTTCATGTTCCTATGTTCTGTGTCCCCCAGTCTGTGTTAAGTTGGTGTGTTATGTCATTGCGTGTATGTGTTTCCTGTTTTATTGTGAAGGTCTGCGTCTTATGTGAGTGTTTCAGTTTGTCTCCCTACTCTCGTCACGTGATCACTCCCAGCTGTGTTCCCACCTGTATGTTATCTCCCTGTGTTCTCTGAGTGTATTTAAGTTGTGTCTTCTGTCATAGTAATTGCTGGTTCGTCTGTGTTGTTTCCCCTCGGTCTCCCTGCGTCTTCCCGTATGTATTTCTCAGTCTCCGGTGCCCCCCTCAGTTCAGTCTCCGGTGCCCCCCTCAGTTCAGTCTCCGGTGTCCCCCGTAGCGCAGGCCCCAGTAGCTCCAGTGCCGCCTGTAGCGCAGGCCCCAGTAGCTCCAGTGCCGCCTGTAGCGCAGGCCCCAGTAGCTCCAGTGCCGCCTGTAGCGCAGGCCCCAGTAGCTCCAGTATTACCAGTTTCACTCATTCACTCCATGCAGGGAGAAAGTCTAATTTCAACTCAAGGTGCTTTTCATAGTTTAGCCGCCATTGGCACAGTTTGCCGCTCCGGGGCTTCCCCAGAGGCTAGGTCTCAGTCCCCAGCTAATTCTGGACCCCTGAAGTTTAAGCAGCCACCTGAGAACTGCACCATGTCAGCGTTGCCTGGGCAGAGCCAGTGCTCAGTGCATTGCCAGTCGCCTTTGTGTCAGCTAGTGGCCTCCATGACTGCTGGCTTAGTGATGACTTCTGCTGGAGGGTCCGTAGGACCGCTCCGGTCTTCATCTCTAGTCTCCGCTGGAGGGTCCGAGGGACCGCTCCGGCCTTCGTCTCTAGTCTCCGCTGGAGGGTCCGAGGGACCGCTCCGGCCTTCGTCTCCTGCCTCCGCTGGAGGGTCCGAGGGGCCCGTTCAGCCTCCTGCCTCCGCTGGAGGGCCCGAGGAGCCCGTCCAGCCTCATGCCTCGTCCGCTGGAGGGCCCGAGGAGCCCGTCCAGCAGCCTTCCTCGTCGGCTGGAGGGTCCGAGCGGCCCGTTCAGCCACCTGCTGCAGCGTCATCATCATCCTCGCCTGCTGCAGCATCATCATCATCCTCGCCTGCTGCAGCATCATCATCATCCTCACCGGCTGCAACATCATCATCATCCTTGCCTGCTGCAGCATCATCATCATCATCAGCCTCGTCTGGTCCAGCCTCAGAGCCTTCAGCCTCGTCTGGTCCAGCCTCAGAGCCTTCGTCCTCGTCTGGTCCGGCTTCATCCGAGTCTTCGTCCTCGTCTGGTCCGGCTTCATCCGAGTCTTCGTCCTCGTCTGGTCCGGCCCCGGCCTGTGCTTCGCCTGGTGCGGCCCCTGCCTGTGCTTCGCCTGGTCCGGATCGCTATCGCCTGAGTCGCCGCCGTTGCCTTCCGCGCGGTCGGCCCCCTGAACTGCTCCGTCGTCTCCCTTGTCGCCGCCGTTGCCTTCCGCACGGCCGGCCCCCGGACCCTCTTCGCCTGAGTGGCCGCCGTTGCCTTCCGCACGGCCGGCCCCCGGACCGCCATCGCCTGAGTGGCCGCCGTTGCCTTCCGCACGGCCGGCCCCCGAACTGTGTCCACGTCGCCGCCGTTGCCGTCCGCACGGCCGGCCCCCTGAACTGTTTGGACTCCTGTGCTGTCGGCCCCCTGGCCGGCCCCCTGAACTGTTTTGGACTCCTGTGCTGTCGGCCCCCTGAACTTTTCTGTTTTGGACTCCGTTTTTCTTGGGCTGTGGTGTGTTTCGTTTCATTGGTTTTCTTGGGTTGGGTCTCGTGTTTTGTTTTTCTTTGTCTTTTGGCCTTTGGCCCTGTGTTCTCTGAGTGTATTTAAGTTGTGTCTTCTGTCATAGTAATTGCTGGTTCGTCTGTGTTGTTTCCCCTCGGTCTCCCTGCGTCTTCCCGTATGTATTTCTCCGGACCTCCCTGCATCCTCGTTTCTGGTTTGTCTTATTAGTTTACCCAGTTTAGGTTTCCAGTTTCATGTTTTGTCGCCACTGTTGTTTGTACTTACCCACCTCTGTGAATAAACACTCACCTGCACCAGAGCTGCCGCCTTTTGGTCCCTTTCTACAATTCCACACGGCTTGCCCCGGCAATCCGTGACATGATATAACTTAAATGACCATGAGCACCACAGCCACCGTTGGCCAGTCCAACACAGTGCTTTACTGTAAATTCACAACAGTGTGGTGAGCTGCTTATCCTGCACTAAATAAAAAGCACTGGTGATGGAGGATATAGGAGTGTCTTTTACGTGTTCTTGTTCCCTCCATTTAAATCCAAATCTGGTTGATTTTTTAAGATTTACAGTGATGTAAAATAAAGCCGGGGTGTCAAATGTGTTTGGCTTAAAGAAACAAGCCTGTTTTGAAAATGTAAGGAATAGAAGG